GTTAATACTACACAGGGAACAGTATATTTCAATAAATATTAGAAACCCAGGTTGTTTGTTGTGAAAAACTATCATATATTATTTACCATAATTTCTTTCCAATTCTAAATGATGTCTTGGATTCAGAATAGTGCAGAAAGACAGATTTTTTTATATGGGTGTGAAAATGTATGAAGTGTTCAGTTCTTTGGTCCATTTGGGTATACAGTTAGCCATTCAGCTATTACCCTGAGTACAACTTGAAATGTCTCTTTACAATATTTTATTGCAATGTATTTTGCCCTTATGGTCATGTGAGCTCTTCGGAACATGTCAGCAAGACCATGTATAGCCCTTTTAGCAGTATATAAACTTCCCCGTAGTCCTCTGAATGTTAAGCATTAGTCCCATTTTCTTGTATACTTTGATTAAGATGTTGATGATTGCCTAAAGGTCTGCCTCCACGTGAGCCCATACTACAACATCATCAGCATAATGGAGCTCAGTGATTGAGATTGGGGTGGTCTTTGTTTTGGCTTGGAGTCAACTGAGTTTAAACATCTTACCATACATTTGGTAGGTAACTCCAACTGGAAGCTTGTTGGTGGTCAGATGTAGCATTGCAGTAAGGAGTATCGAGAAGAGTGTTGACATAGCCTTGCTTAACTCCCATCTTAACTTCAAAGGGGTCTCTGATAGATCCATTATTGAGAATCACCATTCACATAACATTAGACAGCAGGCAAAGAATGGTGACAGATTTCGACGGGCATCTGTACTTCAGAAGGATCCTCCGCAGCACTTTTAGGGTTAACAGTCAAAGGCTTTTGTGAAGTCAAAGAAGTCTTTGTAGAGTGGTTTGTGTTGTTCCTGACATTTATCCTGCAGCTGGTGAGCAGTGAAGATCATGTCAGTTGTGCCTCTTGATGCCCTAAACCCACACTGAGATTTTTGGGAGCTGCTCTTCAGCAAATGGAAGGAGACAATTCAGGAGGGTTCTCGCAACGATCTTTCCTGTGGTGGACAGCAAGGCGATCCCCCTGTATTTTCCACAGTTGGACTTGTGTCCTTTCTTGAAGACTGCCATGATCATGGTGTCTCTGAAGTCACCTGGGATTTACTCATTATTACAAATCCTTAAGTTTAGGGCATGGTGCTGTGATGTGAGATTCTTTCCCTCCTGCTTGAAGATTTTGGTGGGGATTCCATCAGCTCCAGCTGCCTTGTCATTCTCCATCTGTTTGAAGAATGTTATTCTTCATCTTCATCAACAAGCTCTTAATGAGCAGTCCCCAGCTCCGGTAGTTCAGATTCACAGGGAGACTCTCAAGAATGTTGAGTGTTTCCCATACCCTGGAAGCCATTCCTCACAGAAGGCTGACATTGATGAAAAAATCCAGCGTTGCCTCAAATATGCAAATGGAGCCTTCAGATGACTGAGGAAATGGGTGTTCAAAAATTGTAATATCAGATCCAAAACCAAGCTCATGGTTTATCAAGCAGTCATGATCTTCACCTTACTGTATGGAGCTGAGACATGAACAATGTTTAGGAGAAGTCTCAAGCCACTGGAGAAGTACCACCAACGCTGCCTGCAGAAGATCTTTTGAATATGGTGGAAAGAAAGACACATCAAAGCTAGCATCTTCATGCAAGGTGTAACAGAGTCCCACCCCAAGAGTGGCTATGAAGCTTCTGGAACCCCACTTAGCCCTTATCTACTGTACCTTCTCTGGGTAATCTCCCCTTCAACTTGCCACACCTTGATGTTATTATGTCTCTAGAAAAAAGGAGGATGCCCCAGGGCTCCCCAAGCAAGATCTCACACTGATGACCCCGGGTATCACTGCTCATCAACATAAGGGCTAACCACATGGTCTCCTCATCTCCCCTTTTAACCGTGCCCAAGTTTCATGGATGTTATCAATTACTTCTTAGCTCAGGTCTGCAATCTCTGCTCCTCCTGGGCTCAGGTCTTTGTCTCCTTAATTATTGCCTTTCTTCAGCTCAGTCCTTTGTCTCTTTCCACCTACACTCAGGCACTTGACCCATCTTGGCTACTTCTAGGCGTGGCCCTGGATTCGTGACCCTGTTTCTACCTCCCGGAGGCACTGGGCCCCTGATCCTATCTCTGCCCTGCTCTGGGCTGTAGGTCCCTGCCATTCTCAGTTATGCCCTTCCTTGGCCTTTGACCCCTCTCTCTGGTCCCTGCCCCTGCTCCTAGGGCAGTTGAGACTTCCCATGGCTATGGGCTCTCTGGCCCTACTTGTTCTTGCCCTTCCTGGCTTACAGGTCCCTGACCCTGATTCTCGCCTCTCCTGGACTATAGCTGTGGCCCTGTTCCTTGGCCTTGACCCCTATCCTATGGGCCCTGGTCCCACTCTGGGAACAGTTGAGACTGCCCCCACCCCTAAAATTTCAATCCTAAACCACCAGTCTTGTCACCCCAGCTAAGGTGTTAATCAAGAGCCTTGCTGCAACCCTGCTGCCTAGGAGCTCCTGGCTCTTGGCTCTCAAGGCTAGACTTCCTTCTCAGTTCAAGCCCTGGATTTATATCCTGCTAGGTGAGACCCTTTAGGTCATTTGCCTCCTAATTGCCCCACCACACCTGCCACCTAATTACCCCCTGCCACATCTCATGCAGCCTACTTTCTCTTAAAGTAGAAGGCGCACCAAGCCTGCTGCTGTACAAACACCACAAGCATCGAGACGATGATCATCTGACATCTATTTCACTGGGCTGGCCACATCATCTGGATGTCAAACTCCAGATTCCCAAAGCAAGTTCTATTCTCCCAGCTCAGTCAAGGCATATGTTCAAGAGGATGGCAGAGAAACACTTCAAGGACATTCTAAAGGCCAACTTGAAAAAATTCAACATTGACATCAACTCATGGGAGACCATTGCCCAGGACTGCCCCAAACAGAGGAAGAGTCAGCTGCAAGGATCTCAGTACTTTGAAAACCTATGATAACAACAGGAGATGGAAAAGAGGGAGAGCCACCCACCTTGCATGGAAATATGTGCCTGAGTTGCAACAGAGTTTGTTGATACTGGATAGGCCTTGTCAGCCATCTTTGGACTCACAGATACAGATAAGACAATCATGGAAGATAACCATCCTTGACTGGGAGGGATTGCTGCTGTTGCTGCAATCTGCTGATATAAACTTCCCAGGGCTTTTCTGTAGATTGCATGTTCCATGTAAGTACTCTTTTGGGAAACTGTTTTGCACTGGCTCCGATACAAATTTCAGTTTGTTGGGAAGGCTAATGATGTGGCAGAAAAATTTAACAATGGGGAATCAGGAGATTTACTTTTAGCTCTACAGCTTATTTTTTGAAAGAGATGACATTAGACTATTACTCTATTCTTGCACCCTTAATAATACCTCTAACAAATCTGTAGCTTATCACATAGCTCTGAAAAGAGGGTTTTATTTTTACAATGTGTGTCAAATGAGGCACCAAGATGTTATTGGTCTGACTGTTTTTCTTTCTCATGCAGCTAACTCCATTTATTTATTCATTTCCTAGATCAATTTTTAAAACATACCATACAAAAACCTTTAGTAGAAAGTTTCTACCATCATTACTAAAAACACAGCGTCCACTTTATTTGATATTCTGATCATCTATTTTAATTTAGTATGTATTATTCAGTTTATTCTTTGTAAAGTGTCAACATTGCCACAAATCCACTTAGGACAAAAGTGTTTTCCTCTCAAAAACAGCACCATCTTCCCCAATTGTCCTTAAACCTGAGTAGTAAATCCAGTACCATAATGGACATGGAATAGAGAATAATATTGTGGGTTTCTTTTCTCTCTCTCTCTTTTCTCCACTGCAGTCTGTAACTTGGATTTGCTTGCTGATATTGTATTCATAGTAGATGAAGGTGTTACGAAACCAGACTTTGATACTACTAAAAAATTCCTGAAAGACCTAATATCATCTCTTGATGTAAAGAAGGAATGCATAAGAATTGGTCTGGTGACTTTTAGCACTAAGCCGGAAGTGATATTTTTTCTGAACACAGAAGCAAACAAAGCTGATATTCTGCAGAAAATAGAGGGCCTTTCTCCCAAGCCAGGGAAAGCTCATACAGGTGCTGCCATCAATGCTGCAAGCAAAAGTGTCTTCATTGAGAGTGCTGGAAGCAGAAAAGCTCAAGGGGTAGAGCAAATAGCCATTCTGATCACCCACAGACCCTCACAAGATAACGTGAGTGAAGTAGCGGCAGTGCTTAGGAGAAGTGGGGTGACTGTTTTCTCCATTGGTATAAGAGATGCAAGTATTCCCCAGTTGAAAGAGATAGCATCACATCCTCAACAACAGTATGTTACTTATCTAAAGGAATTTTCTAACCTGCTGAAGCAAAGTACAACTTTTTACAAGAAACTCTTGAATCAAATACAGGACAGGCTCTATGTTGAGTCTGAACGAAGAGAATCTCTCAAAACAGGTAAAGCTTTTCACATACTGTAATTTTACCCTTTTCTTCTTCCCTGATCTAAATTTCATTTTGCTTCTTCTGGCCATCAGAGCAATTCAGCTTTTAAGTTGAATATGGTTTCACCTTTAATTTTTATTATATTGGTGCATTTCAGTATTGTATACTGAGATGCTACAAATTGTGTGCTCCTTTTTCTTTTTGGCATCTGCTAGTATTTATCTTTTACACCTTTGCAGAATCTTATTGACTTAGTGACACTGTGAATTGGATCATATCAGCAAATATTAATACAAGATCATTGCTATGGTATTTAAATGTATTTCTCTTGGCAAGATAATGTGCTGGGGAGGGGATGGGTGTTACAATATATAATTTTGTGTAACTATGTAAACGGGCAGTGCTTGTACTGGGTATATTTGGAGGGCAATGAATATCATAAAATTTTACATTAATAAATCATTTAAAGTAACAGACTCTAAGGCCAAATCATCATTTTATTGGCATAGGCCTACAAATAAGTATTGACATGCTTAATTTGTAACTTTGTAAGTGTGTCAGATCCATACCCAGGCTACGGTGAGGGTCTGCATAGCGAGAAATGTTTTAATTGAGTGTGTTTTAGATCTAAATTCTACTCCTGTAACATAAAACTTAGCTTGCCTCAAAAGCCACCATCCCACAATGACCTCCCTCTTGGCAGACCCCAGGATCTGTACAAACCTCATATGATTTCGGTGGGGCCCTCATTGAGCAGAGAGGTCTTCCTGTGCAGGGATCCTTACAGATACTCATGGAGTGCATCTATATGAGCTATTAATCTGAAGTAGGCTTACTGCACAGTAAAAATACTGTGCAGTAAGCCTACCAGGGGAGCTTATCTACACGTGCTCTCTCTTGGGAGCAGAATTCCTCCCAACCTGCTCTGCCCACTGCAGCAGTCAGGGGAGCTCCAGGCTCTCCTTAGGTGCTAGCTTGGGGCCTAGCAGGGAGCATGGGTCCAGTCCCCACGTGCACAAGGCAAGGAGAGCTCTGCTGGCTGCAGTGGCAACTGTCTACTGGCCCTATACACATCAGGAGGGAATAGGGCTTCCCTGGGACAATATTGCACTGCCCCTGCAGTAGGCAGCTCATGGCCCTGGCTCCATGATCAGAGTCGGGACTGGGACATTGCTTCCTTCCCTTGGCAGCTCCCTGCTGTCAGGATCGGTTCCAATCATGGAGCCCAGCCAGAACAATGTCCCCCTGCCCCAATCGTGGACCTGGGGCTGGGAGCTGCCAGCTGCTAGGTCGAGGGGATGTTGTCCTGGCTGGACTCCACTATTGGAGCTGCCCCGGTAGCAACCAAGTTAAGTGATTGTTCTCCTGCCTCCTCCTGCCCTGTCTCATAGGGAGCAGTTTGCTCCCAGTCAGGTATCTAACCATGCAGTACTGCACAGTAGCTACTGTCCAGTAAGTCAGTACAGGTAGTAGAAAACCACACAGTATACTAATCTACTGCTCAGTAGCTCCTGCTAACAGTTACCTAACGATGCTTTACTGTTCAAGAGATTAGTCAACTGTGCAGTAAAGCATCTCACGTAAATGCACCAGTGGTTGCTCTACCAGCTAGCCCAACCTTCCTTTTCCCCAGTTCTCACCAAGTAGAGATTTACATCATCACAGTCTCTGGCAGAGTTTAGCCCTGGTGGAATAGCATCAGAGTTTATCCCATGGTAAACCTAGGGTTGAAATTTTCAGATCATCTAGAACATTTAAAGCTTCTATTTAAAACCACTGAAGTATCTGTGTCTAAATCCACTAGACTGCTTAGAAAAATGTCATTTTACATCTGCCTGAAAACCTCCATGAGCTTATCTAAATGTCTTGTTTGAGTTAAGCTAGTATCTCCCTGTGCAAAGCAATCCTAATGTAACATAGTTTCTCTTTCCATGTAGGATGTGTGGATACAGAAGAAGCTGATATCTATTTCCTCGTTGATGGTTCATCAAGTATTACATATCCTGACTTTGTGGATATGCAAACTTTTTTGACAGGAGTGATTAACTTGTTTAACATCGGACCAGATAACGTCCGATTTGGAGTTGTTCAGTACTCACACTTGGTTGACCTGGAATTTGAGCTTGGTAAATACAACACAGCAGGTGATTTAGTGAAGGTCATTGAAAACATCAGGCAAATAGGTGGAAATACCAACACAGGAGCAGCTCTAAGTTACATGCGACCACTCTTTGCAAAGGCAAGGAGCCAACGTGCTAGAAGAGTGCCTTGTCACCTCATTGTTCTAACAGATGGACAATCACATGACAGCGTGAAGGAACCTGCTGATATATTGAGGAAAGACCAGGTTATTGTTTATGCCATTGGAGTGAAAGATGCTAATGAAACACAGCTCCATGAGATTGCAGGGGCAAAGAACAGGGCATATTTTGTACACAATTTTGACTCATTGAAAGTTATAAAAAGTGAAGTTGTTCGAGAAATCTGCTCTGAAGAAGGTAAGGCAAACTTTGAGAACTAAAATTCATAAATTGCCCAATCATATCTGCTGAAGCAGTTAATAGTACCCCCAGTTTGAATCTGTGGGAGCGAAATATTTGGAGAGCTAATTACTATTTAGTAACTTGACTTTACTGCACATTACAGCCAATTTTCCTAAACAAATGTTTAAGATAATATTTTAGCATGCAGACTTATGAATGTGTACTAAGTAAGAGCTAAAGATTCAGAAAGTGTTTTGTTTGGGGGGGTTTAACTTATTCTTATACCTTATATTTATCTTATGTTTATTTTCTTTCTGTTAAACTGTCACTGCTGCCTCAGTTATTTTCTTTTCAGTGTATAATTTCTGAATTGCATTTTAACTTTTTTTTCTATAGCTTGCAAAGATATGAAAGCTGACATCATATTTTTGGTGGACAGTTCTGGGAGCATTGGAGATGAAAACTATGTGAAAATGAAAAGATTTATGAAAGAACTGGTGAACCGATCTGACATCAGCACACAGCAAGTGCAGATTGGGGTTGTCCAGTTCAGTGATGTTCCCAGGGAAGAGTTCCAGCTCAACCAATACTCTACCAAGCGCGATATTGTTAGCGCTATTGACAGAATCTCTCTCATAAATCAGAACACACAAACTGGAAAGGCACTGAAGTTTGTGGCTGAGTATTTTCAGTCTCCCAAAGGAGCACGTCCCAATGTTAAAAAAATTCTTATCCTGATCACCGATGGGGAGGCACAAGATGCAGTAAAAGATCCAGCAACAGCCCTACGACAGGAAGGCATTGTTATTTACTCAGTTGGAGTTTTTAATGCAAATAAAACTCAGCTAGAACAGATTGCTGGGAAGCCTGAGTTGGTTTTTTATGTTGAAAACTTTGATATTCTAAAGGAGATAGAAAACGAGATCATCTTTGGCATATGCAGTCCTTATGAAAGTAAGTCCTGTAGTTCCCATAACTCATACCCATCTGTGCATGTGTGTGTAAGTGGGAATTCTGCTCAGACTTGAGAGTCAGCTATTGTAATAAAGTAAGTGTTATGATTACAGGGATAGCTGCACCTCTGTCCATTTTGTGATTTCTATGAATTGCTGACCTGAGGCTCCTGTGTCTTGTTCTTCTATTCATCTTTGGATGGAATTCCAAATTTCCCTTGCTTTTCATTGTTCTTACCTTGCAGGCCTGAATGCATTTGCACACCTGGGACACTTCCTTGTGAAAGTCTGTGACCAAAGAGCCTTTTAAAACAAAAGTATTGCTTATTTCACAGGAGGGACAAAGCATAAGAGGAAACAGTCTTTTAAATCACCAAACTGTTCATGTACTATATTGTATAAATTCCTATTGCCCCCGATCATAACCTAAGCATGCACAGTCAGGGTTCTGGAGTAACAGCTGGGTTCTCTTGAATAACAACCCATGTTTCTTGTGAAGGGATCAGTTTTAATCCTTCCAGTGTTTTGTTCTTCTGTGGACTGAGACCTTGGCTTCTCTGAGCCAAGTAAATTTTATGGGTTGTTTGGAGACAGGCCAGAAAAAACATAAAATAGTTCTGTCAGTTGTTCTATAATGATTCTTACACACTTGCCCCTAAGTATGGCTTAAGCCATGCTGATTTTCTAGATGCATTTTTTAAAAATTTAAACCAATATAGTTATACAGAAAATAACCCTTATGCCAGGTGGGCATGCACTATTCATGCTTTATATTCTCAAAGTGGTATAAAGGGTACCTTGGAATAGCTGAGATTCAGGATGCAATGACTGAATTCTGACTTAGTTTACAGGACTACAACTTCCATGAAATTCAGAGAAGTTTCATTAATTTAAATGAGGGCAGATTGGGCCCAGGGTCTATGGGAGAGGGAAAATGAGGACACAGTTTATTGGTTCCTAAAGCCTAAGGGACTCCACAAAATTATAAGCATTTTCTTTCTTAATAGAAATTTAATATAATGAGTAAAATGATCATTGCAGGTAGCATGTGGGTAAATAAAGAAGTATGATTGCTATTAATGTATTTCAAAACTTATGAATTCAGCTCAGAATTTAAATAGAATTCCTCTATTTCCTTTTTCCAAAATGGGAAGGGGGACCACCAGAATGTGTACCAGATCCTCCAATCTCTCTCAGGCCTTGAATGGACCCTATATGTTGTTTTCTTGATAGAGTTCAATTACGTTCATTGCTTATGCTGGAATCCAGAATGTGACTAGAATAATTTTTAAAACATCTTAGCCCCTGTTCATGCTGACCAGGAAACAAGTAGTGGAAATCAGTTGGAATTACTTTCCAGAGTTCCAATCTACTTTTCAGGTGTGGTTCTAAAATCAGTATGAACAAAGAGCTTAAGAAAATGTGTTGTGAACGTTTTTTAGAAAGATAGCAAAAGGAGTAAAATGTTGCAGATACAGCTCGAAAGAGGTAGCAATGCATGCTAATGTTAACGTGCTACCAGTAGCTACTGCATGTTAACTGTAGAATAACTCCATTGGGAAAGGTGATAATTAAAGGAAAGTAATATGAACAGTTCATTTTTAACAATGCTTTAAAGAATGCATGATTCCATTAGATTGTTAGATAATTTATTAACTATAATTTTGAGAAATTTTGAATATGTCTAGATTCAGTTTCAAGTGACTTTCTTTTTTTTTTTTACCTAAGAAAGCACATAAGGAATATTGGCATTTAACTTCTTGTTCCACAACATTTTGTGTGTGCTGTGTTTACATGTGGCTTTGCATATGTTAGGTCTGGTGCACAGGGTAAATAATAACCTGTAGCCCAAAGCTGAGGGAATAGGAGAAACTGACTCAGAGCAGATTGTCTGCTGCCTAGTCATTTGTATGTGCTGAGGCCCACCATTGACAATGAGCTGGATCTCTACATGGGTGGGATAGCAGACCCTCAAGTTGAATGGGTGGTGCACAATGGTTCCCAGTCTTTAAGGACTCAAACCTGACTACATTAATTCAATGGCAAAATTCTGATGAGCTTCCAAGGGAGCAGAAGGCCATGAGACACTAAAAGGTTATCAGGTGTAGCAGCTCTAAAACCCCGTATTGTCCATACACATTCTGGTGGCTTGGCACTGTGACACTGCTCATGATAAAGGAGACCTCGTAATCCTTGCAGCTCTGTGCTCAAAACACTTGGCAACATCTTCATTCTGAACACTTGTGACAAGGCCAGTAGCATATTACCCAATCAAGGACAAGAACAATTGAAAGGGCCTGAAATAGAAGGAACCCATTATCACCCTGGACAAAGTGGTTAAGTTCTTCCAGTTCTCATCAGAACTGTTATGTTGGGTTCAGTAGTGGAGGAACATGACCGGTACAGAACACAGCCTGTTCTGCTGTTGGGAGATCACAGGAGTGGCCTATAGAATGAGAATAGATGCAGCTGTCCTTAGCAGTGACTTAAAATGTTGAGCTAATGCGATACAGACTTGCCATTAAACTTAGCTCAGACTTGAAATAAGCATTTGGATGCATCACTTCTAGCTGGAAACACAGTTGTTTACCAAAAATGCTGTATTTTAGGGGAGTAGGTTGTAGCCGTGTTGGTCTAAGGACATAGGCAGAAAAGGTTCCTTGGGTGAATTTGATATCTTTTATTAGACCAACCCAAATGGTTGGAGAATAGTTATTAAGCAAGCTTTCGGGTTCAAAAACCCTTTGTCAGGCTAAGGAAGTTTCAGCACTTGGTGTGTGCTCTTCCTGGATGGAATGAAAAGTAAAGAAGCCAGGGGCTGGGCTGGGCTGGGCTGGGGAGTCAGTTGCCAGGCAGATTATAATGTACCAAAAATCCATTGTCTATGTTTAGTCCATGATCTCTAGTATCCAGCAGGTTGATGAAATGGAGCTCATAGGCTCGTCTCTGGGATGTGTTGTGTAAGTTTCCCTTGAGGATCAGAACTGAGAGACTAGAGAGAGAGTGGCCCTCCTGTGAGAAATGTGCCCCCACCGGTAATTGGGTATTTCTGTCTTTGATAGATTTCCAGTGTTCATTCATTCCTGTGTGCAGTTGTTGTTTGGTCCCTCCTACATATTTTCCATCAGGGCATTTGGTGCATTGGATGAGGTATATTACATTTCTGGAGGTGCAGCTGTAAGATCCTGGGATGCTGATGGCTCTGTTGTGGGGTGTAGTAATAGTGGGGGTGGTGGAGATGTGGGGGCAGGTTTTGCATTTCTTGTCATGG